GTGTTGTCCTATGAAGACTTTGGGCAAAGGACCCCAGCCAACCCAAAGTTAACTCATAATGACAGGATTGTTCCTGGAAGTATTTCTAGAGGGGAATCCCAGGAAGAAGCTTCTCCATTTCCACCAGTGTTGCCCCACACTGAGAAAGTTGTGCCTGGTAGTATTTCAAGAGACATTTCTGATGAAGTATTAGAATCTAAGCTGCTGCAAGCAGTGGTCATGGAGTCACCAAAGCAGAGAGCAATTGATGCTGACCCCGCATCTGTTGCTAAAGTGCAGCCATGAAAAGCTCAATGCTGGTTAGTTTTGCAGATTCCATTAACTACAGAGTAATTAAATAATGGGAGTTTCTTGATATTTATTTTGTTACAAAGAATTTAGACATAGCTGTACATGCTATAAAGGTGCTGTCTGGTAGTGAAAAGGGAAGACCTACTTGCAGACAGTTCATGTCTTTCTGTGTAATTTGTAAATTAAAAATTTCTGAGAGGCTTATGATTGTTGAAGATACCAAGAGTTATGGGTACATACAGAAGGCACTGAATGAACCATGTCAACAATAGTATGGTGGGTGGGACAGAATCATGTGTTCCATGTCTATTAGATGTAAAGGGCAAGGGATCAGAGAGGTGGGAGGGGTAGCAGGTAAGGGAACATGTACTATCCATACTGTAAACATTATTTCTCAGCAGCAATACTTGAAAGTTTGCTGCCCTGATTAAAGTTTCTGGTTTAGGTAGTGTGTGTTTTTCCTTTTCACACACAAGCTTGTGACATAGGCACAGTTTTATCCCAACTGTTGTATATTAGGACTTGACTACTTGGGGGGGGGGGAATGAGAAATTGTGAAAGTGAAACTGTGCTTAATGTTTTTTCCGTCATGAAATCCTTAGTAACCAAATTTTGTTTAAAAAATTCAATGATCCTAGGCATTATGGGGACATTGAAGCACATGCATTCCTTCTTATTGTCACTTAAAATTCACATTTCACATTAATAACAAAACTAATATTTACATGTCAGTTGTTCAACAGCTGTTTGAATGTTATACAAACAGTTTTATTTTTGATACAGTTAATTGGTTTCACATTATTCTGTAAAATACAGCCACATGTTCGGGATGACTTATGACAATTATGTTGGCATATTTTTTGAAGTGTTAAGATTGACATACTGGGTAGCATTTGAATGCTGTATATTACATATTAAAAGTGTATACACCAAATGCATAAAAGATATGTTTTTAGAAAATTGTTACTGATTTACATTGTTAGTAGTATACTTTTGTGTGCTTAGGAAAGTTCTGTGAGAAAGCTTTGGCATGGCTTGAGGGCATCAGGTTATGCTACTGTTTCAAGCCACATAGATTGCATATTTTTAATAAACAGAAATTTTACATGTCTCAAAATTTATATATCTGGATAAAATGTGAATGTGTAGTGGTCAAAAGAATGGTCATCTTATTTCCATGTATTATTGTGTTATCAGGATTTCCCAAGCAACAAGGGACACTATGTCTGCAAACTTGACGCTCTGGAGACCCAGCACTGAAAAGCTTTTGTGTAGACCTTCATAGCGAGCGCTAATTTTTGACATGGTTCATGAAATTGCTTTCTGATCTTTCGAACTCTCTTTAATACTTAAGTAACAACAGTAGTGTTGATGGAGAAAGATTTGAAACAGCATCACTTTTTCTTCTTTTTATAAATAACAGTTTATTTGAAAAATTATCCTTGTTTCTAGTTGTCTTCAGGTTGATTAGAGTAATTTATTTGCTTATCCACAAAGTTTTAATTTTCCTTTGCTCTCATGGGTTCACTGTGTGTGTTCTATATATATACATATAAACACACACTTTTGATGGTTAGAAGGGAAAGATGTTTCTTCATAATCCTATATTATCAGAGTAGTCCATGAATATGGGCTACCAGAAATATCTCATGTCATCCATAAGAGCATGTTGAACCCTGCTGTGGTATTTATTGGCATGCTTGTTAACTTGAGGTTGTTGAGAATAACATTCAGCATCACATATTAGATATTTATCATCATATAGGTAAAATAAGTTGTGCAACAGTTGGTATAATTTTCCATATGAAATGCAATTAATTGCCACAATTTCATTGTATACAGTTTTAATGTGTGTTGTCTTTTCACCATAAGCTACAATCAGTTGTGTGTTTTTATGTGTATTGTTACATAAAACGTTTTACAATAAATATCTGATCTATCTGATGAAAGTAAAAATATTATTTAAATTTTACATTATCTAAATGCAAAATGAAACCAAGCCCTGAGCAGTTTTGCATCTGATTTTAGCATACAGGCAATCGAAGATATATGGTAAGATACATATTTTGAACTCATATGTTTGATCTTTGTTTATAATTTTATGGTCATTCTGTGTATGTGACACTGCATCTTCAAGTTTATTATATATGTAATCAAAAATATAATGCTGTATTGTGTGATTCAATTTTTTGTTACAAACTGGATGATTAAGGGCTCTTAATTTATAAAAATGTTAAGGTCTTTCACAGCCGTGATATTTATGCCTTATGTAGTACATCTTGTCTGCATATGATGTCCAGAAATCTTTCTCAATTAAACAGTTGCCCCATTTTTTGGTATTTTAAATATGGCAGCCAAGCCATGACATTATTGTGGGAAAATGGAATCAGATTCACAAAAATTCTCTGCCTATGTTTAGTGAAGAAGTTATCTTTCTGAAAGGAAATGCTTGAATTTTTTATTATTTATCTTCAGGGGTCTTAGATAACCATATTTTTAAATCCCTGATGTGCTCCCATTTCATAATTTCCAGACATGTCACCTGAAATGTCTCTTTCCATTATTTATTATTATTGAGGAGTCTGTGCATATAATAAAGTTCAAGTGGTTGAATTATGCTACAATAAAATTTGCTTATATTGGAATCATAGTGTATCTTAACAATTTTTCATCCAGTTGGATGGATTACCCCTTTGCTAATTGTTATTACAATTTTGTTTTGGATACTTGCATGCACTCTTTGTATATCAAAAATTATTTTAGGATGCCACCTAAAAGGAAAATTGATAATTGGGCTAAGCCCTCAAAAGATGGATTTTGTTATGTAATGCCTGTAACAGGCCATAAGGAAAGGAAAGGAAGAAGACTTTGTATTATAGTGTCTGCATACAAAATTTTTACAGGATTATAAGGTGCTTTTAAAGGTCCTTCCATTATCTCCCATGCTTTATTTCTCTCAATTATCAGATGCCTGAGTGTGATCAATAAAAATCCATTAATGTTGGTATGTTAAGTTCTCTTTGATTTTAAGTTACTGTGTCATTGAAAAATTACAATCTGTGCATGACTGCCTGTTTCTAAATCCACATTGCTGTCCTGATGGTATTATTTCTGCTGTCTTGTTATTTATATTTGTTAGCATACATTTTACAACTCGTGTTTAGTAAATTAATACTTCTTCAATTACCACAGTCATTTCTAGCTCCATTCTTAAAGATGTAGATAATTATGGCAATGTTCCATTGTTTCAGGATGCATTCATATTTCCAACAGATACAGAGTAAACTTAAGAACTTTTCTAATATGAATAAGGGAGCATATTTTGTTAATTTTATGTTTTCGTGTACCTGAAGCCTTCTGTTGTACAACTAGCTCGCACAACTGATACTTTTTATGCACTTTGTCCACCAAAATACTGTGTGTTTATTATGGTATATATTTTTTGCAGTTTTTATCCTCCACCCACCCAATGATGCTTGTTCTGAGCATGAACTATAAACAGGATACCCACTTGTAACATAAGTTTAGAATTTCTACACAAAAATAATACATTTATCAAATTTAAAGTGCCCTCTTTACTATATTGAAGGATGAGATCAGTGATTGTTCGTTTAGTTTTTATGATGGACTGAAGGTTAAATATTGCAGTAGAAGAGAGATCGTATAACTATGTACTGTAATGTACGGGGTGCGATCGGAAAGTTTCAAGACTGCGCCTATTTTTTTTAAAAAAACCCATACACTTATCTCAGGTATTAAATTCATCCATCACCCTCGAAGTAGTTCCCCTGGGAGTGAACACAACGATCCCAGCGCCGCTGCCAAGCCTGGAAGCATCCCTGGAAATCTTTCTTGGTCAGCCTGTCAAGCACCATCTGCGATTCGGCCTGAATCTCTTGCCAAAGATTCGCCAAAACGGCTACGGAAACCTATGAAATGCTAAAGCAAGCATTTGGGGAGTCCGCAATGGGTCGTGCACAAACTTTTGTGTGGCATTCACGTTTTAAAAATGGCCAAACCTCTGTCGATGATGACGAGCGTTCTGGACGACCATCTTCGAGCACAACGCCCGAAAATGTTACGAAGATACGGCAGGCCATTCACGAAGATCGACATCGTACCATCAACGACTTGTGCGACATTGCTGGGATAGGCTATGGGACCTGTCAGCTGATTCTAAAGGAAGAACTCCACATGCGACGCATCATGACAACGCGCCAGCACACACCGCCCTCAAAGTTCGGCAGTTTTTGGCCGTCATCCCGCACCCTCCTTAGCTCCGTGTGACTTCTTCTTCTTCCCAAAGATGAAAATTCAGCTAAAGGGAAGGAGATTTGAGACGATAGAAGAGATTCAGGCAGAATCGCAGATGGTGCTTGACAGGCTGACAAAGAAAGATTTCCAGGGATGCTTCCAGGCTTGGCAGCGGCGCTGGGATCGTTGTGTTCACTCCCAGGGGAACTACTTCGAGGGTGATGGATGAATTTAATACATGAGATAAGTGTACGGGTTTTTATACGAGTAGTCTGGAAACTTTCCGATCGCACCTCGTATAAAACATTTCATTACATTACATTACTTTACATTACATTCAGCTACCACAGACCCATCTTAAGCGTAAATCGAGCTGCAGAAACTGAATTAAGATTTTAAATGTGTGCAATCGATATATATAGATGGCTCTAGTGTAGTCTCCAGGTTCTCCAACACGGTTGAAACAAGAACCTGTTCCAGTTATTGGGATTGCGATGTAGTATTATTTGTTGATGAAGTGGAGCATGTAAAGTGTGTGTTTTAAATGCAGAGTTTTTGTGTATGTGCGTTTAAGAAGTTTTGGCATTAGATTAGTAAAAATTCTTCGTTTTAATACATGTTCGTAATTAAAAGAACTAAGTTATTTCCTTCGATGTATAAATAATGTCTTCATAACTTGGCATTTTTTTTAAATTCAACGGACTATAAATCATGCATAATAGTTTAATATCATTACAGCAGCTCGTGAAGACATTAAAGGTTTTGAATCGTCAACAATGAGCTCGTCAGGATTGTCCAAAACTGTTTTATCATCTCCAGGCCAGAGTGAGTCCCAGGCTTCAGAACTCAGCAGCAGTCTCACTTCATCTTCAGCTGTTTTAAGTCGCCTTAAATTTGAGCATTCAGTTGATCAGAGTCTGTCACAATTATCACGAGATGGTCACAATAAAAGACTGAAAATGTTACGAAAGGAACTGGACTATTTGCATATTACTGCCTGGAGGTATCAGCCTATTGACAAATACATTGGGCAATAAGATTTGTAACAATGATTTCATTGTTGAAGAAAGCTGGTAGTTACATTTTTGGCTTTGGGAGGTATGAGCCAAAAGATGAAACTGCTATTGATATAGATTGCATCATTGCTAACATAGAAACTGATGAGTCAGTTGGTGCTACATCAGAAATAACTTCATTGAAGACAGATGGAGTGAATATTTGTCAACATTGTGTTGGTACAATAACGTCACTGTATACAGATTATGGTATAATTGATGGAACTTTATATTTTGACCTTCGTGATGCACCAGCAGAAATGTTACGTGAAGGGCATCGTGTATCATATCTTGCCTTTCGTAGGAAAGAAAATGAAGAGTGGAGGGTTCGAAAAATTTTTTGCATACATGATGAAAACTGGGAAAAGTACTACGAAGATGATGATACTGTTAAGGTTTTAGAACCACAGTGTAAGGATGTCATGAAGAGAAACATTGTTTGTCAGGTTATTCAAAGAGAAGGACGAGAAGTGATTCTTATGCCTGGAAATATTCGCTGCAGTTTGGATGAAGTGATAGCTGAATTCATACCATTAGAAGGTAATGTTCAGTGAGATTTTGCTAACCAAATTAAGGAAAGATGTTAATCACAATAATTATATACAACACTGTTTAATTTCAGTAAAATTGCAGTATCAGCACCCAATGAAATACTATAGAGCTGCATTTTCTTGCTTGTAAACAGTAGAATAAGACAATTGTTATCATGAAATTGACAAAAAAATTACATCCCAGGTCTTCTAGCACCATGCAGATTTAAACCTGATTTCCCTGTCTCGTCTCTTCTACCCACACTTAATGGCTGAATCGAAAACAAAAAATGAATGGGTTGACGCTAATTCTTTCTTCTATCTTGTAAGAGTCATATTTTGTAGCGTGTATGAAAGGATCAATACTACTGTACTTTTTCCATGAATTGATAATGGAATAATACCATTGTTATGTACATGTTATTTAGAGACCAGTCCTGCATTTCAACCAGTAATTGTTACTGAACTGAGACTGGTCTGTTTGTGTAAGATCTTTTGCATGAGAAAACTTTCTTTATCATTGATGTGTGCCTGTTTTGATCACGCACTATTTTGACACTGACATCTGTAATTGTTACTGAAAAGTTCAAGTAAATGTTTATTACTCTAGTGTTGGCTATACTTATATTTCTCTGGTAGAACTTAATTCAGTGACAGGTTAGTGAAGTTTAATTTTACTGTATTTAACAGATAATATTAAAGAAAGTTAGTTTTGTTTTATTAATGGTATGTTTGTGTTAAGTTAGTAAGCATGAATAAAACTTTATCACAAATTTTGCAAGCGCGTTGGCCATAGATATAAATGCATACCAAACTCAAGTACATATCTGTGTAGAAACATTGTTTTATATTTTGTGTTAATGTTAAGAGATTTAAAATTTGTAAAGGCCTTTGTTTATTGACTGTACAGACTGTGTTTTAACTTTTATTGTCTGTGTGTCGCAGGTCGTGTATGGTCTAGCTTGCCACGCATTACAATAATGTACTGTACCATTAAACTCTTCTCCCCAAGGTTAAAATCTGGCTGTTAGCCCCACAATACAGGGATTTAAATCACCTGTTTCTATACTATAAATGTTAAATTATTTTGCAAGGCAATTTTTTTGGCATCCACATATTAATATGATAATAAATTGAGGAGTTGAATTATGTAAATGTATATGTATCAAATTTCAAATTTTTTAATGTTCAGACAAATTTACTTTGCTTTGTTACCTGAAGTTTGTTAATATGTAAGTGCTAAGAAACTTATTAATGGAGAGTTTTATAGATTCTTTACAAATCAAATGTAAGTAGCCAAAATTTTAGACACAATTACAGTTGATGTCATTAATATACATAATCCTATTGACAAACCAATAATAAACTTTCTGTAATTGACTTAATGCAACAGGTGACTGGGTGGTGATTAAAGCTGATGTTGAAGTGAATGAAGACATGTGTGATTCTGGTGGAGATGTGCTGGATGTAGAGGAGATAAGCCCACTCCGGTCTCGCATATTGACTGGTTGCATAACACATTGGAATCAGAATGGTGAAGGAGTTATAGACCACAATGTGTATTTTAGTCAAGATTCATGTGAACCTGGATACGTTCCTCACCTGGGAGATAATGTTGAAATTAAAGCAATTGAGAGTGAGCAAGGCAAACACATGTGGCGTGCTTTGACCACTGTTCCTGAGTTTTCACATAGTACAAGAACAAAAGCAGACCAAGGATTTCATGATTCAGCTCAGAACTATGACAAATTGGAAATCCTTCTTGAAGAAAAAAAGGGGATTGTTGTTACAAAGTGTTTGAACTTTGGTGTGTTAAATGTGGGTGAGGAAAGAGAACTGACAGCAGAAGTCACAAATAATGGAATTTATAGTCAGTTTTTTGTACGAGGAAAATTTCATTCTCGTCATTCTGAATCTCAGTTCATCCTCCATCATCCAAGAGATGGAGAATCATATGAGATTTATCCTGGGCAGACAGTAAATTTTCATTTTGGTTGTAAAGGAAGGTTTATTGGTAATTCATCTGAACTATTTGTATTTACCTTCAAGGGTTTCAAGATCGGTCGTAACCTACAGGTGGACGTACGACATCCATTGCACACATCCATAGCACCATCACATTATGAGAGGAGGTTTAATCATTATGATGCTCAACAGAAGGCTTACCAAACAAAGAATACTGGAATGTTGATTTCTGGCGTGAGACCCATTAAACCCCCTGCTTTTGTGCCTGTTCGACTGGGATCATTCCCAATTCCAGATAGACTGCGGCAGGCAGTAATAGGAAATTGTGGGCAGAAACGAAGCACTGAAGATGTTAAAGTTGCTGTAGAAAATGTTGTTCCATGTCTCATCTCAGATCTGAATGTGTCAAACTACACGGATCGGTTCCACATGCTCCTTTATTTGGAGGAGATTCATGCTGTATTAAATATGCAGAACTATGACCTTGAAAGAGTTTGCTTCCGTATAGCAGGACCTGGTGGGGAGTTTCTAGCACTTGAAGTTCCTGGTCTTGCTGAGAGAAGGCCATCACTTCTCCTGGGTGACCGTGTTATAGCTTCCAGTCCAGTTGCACAAGACAATACAGGTAAGTGTAACATGACTGGTGTTTGTACCTTTTCTTCCATTATGTATTACATAATGCAGAAGATGTTAAATCGATTTATTTCATCATCAAAACTGCTTGATGCAAATTTCAGTGAAATCTGGCATTGGATGATCTGCATGAAAAATTTGCAGATGAATTTAATTATGGTTTGTTTCTGAATTTTCTCTGGAATGGCTCTTAACATTTAGTGCCAAACCATGAACCATTACAAAGAGTAACAGAAAATCAGGACAGTGGGTATGACATTTTTGAGAAGTGTTGAGGGGAAAATAAGCAGAGATAGAATTAGAAATTAAATGTTTAGATACATGGGAATTCAAAAGTTATTAATTGAATTAAAGGGTAAGTGACTACAGTGGTCTAAAGAGAAAAAATAGAAAAGGATACCAAATATATTCAAATTACATTTTAAGGACAGAGTAGGAGATATCAAGAAAATAGGAAAGAGTTGGAAATAAAATGGAAAGTAAAGATTGTGGGAAGTTGGAACAGATTGGCAACTTTTCATCCATTGGAAAAAGTTCAGACAGTGCTAGACACAGAATGGACTGTATTTAAGTGGGTTGGAATGGTTTAGGTAACAGGAAGACTTCTGGATTTGATCATGCACAATGTTTGATATTCGTGTGGGAATATTAAAAAGAATTACTTCTTGGTCAGAAAGAAGTAAAACATTCATATGCACATAGGTCATAAACCTTTCATTTCTGGATAAATATTGGGTAAAAGTGATAAGTAAAAGGATTTATGCAAAGTGTTGGGTACTTGGTAAAGGTAGTGTATGAAGTGACTTGTGCATAATTTGGCACCAAAGTTCTCACTATTAATTTTCTCCTATTTATGATTTTACTGTCTGTTATATTTTTCATGACCAGATGTAATGTTTTTCCAGATTTCCAGTTTGAAGGCTTCATTCACAAAGTGTTTAGTTCTGAAGTCTGGATCAAGTTCAGTTCTATTTTCCATTCTTCATACAACGGAAGCGAATATAATGTTTCATTTCACTTTTCCCGAACACCAATGAGACGATGTCATGCAGCTGTGAACATGGCACTGACACATTTAGGGCCTCAGATGCTGTTCCCTACAGCAGTGAAAGTTCAGCCACCGCAGTTACATTTAGAAGAAGAGTCACTGACTTGTACATCAGGTGGGCATGTCAGCTCAGAAGACATGAAGCATTATGCAACATCAAACAAGTGTTCTCCTGAGTCATCACCTTCTGAGGGATGGAAGAGCACACCAAGGGTACCAGTTGTTCAACGGTTGTTTGGGAAACACAGTAACAATAAGGACTGCCAAATACATTCTTGTTTTTCTGAAACATCAGTTAAGTACAACACAAGTGCTTTACACACCAACTTTAAAATGTCAAAAAAGGAACAGTCTAGAGACTTGAAACAATATGTTAAATATGAAGAAACTACAAAACCTCAATTGCTAAAAACTGGTATAGTGAAGGAAACAAAAATTCTGAATCAGCAGAAAAAGAAAGTAAAATGGTTTAACAATCAGCTGAATTTTTATCAAAAGGAAGCAGTATGCAACATATTGAAAGGAGAGGCTCGGCCTTTACCATACATTATTTTTGGACCACCAGGGACTGGAAAAACAATAACACTTGTTGAAGCTGTCCTTCAGATATTAAACCTTCTCCCAGACAGCAGGTAGGATGTTCTTTATTTCTTAGACATTTGAAACCAAGTGATTTAACACAAATTACCATATCACTTGCATGCAAAAGTTACCAGATTATAATCGTGGACAGAACTTTGAGGTATTAAGTTAAGTGCATAGTTGTTTTCCTCAGTCCATTAGGCAAATATTGGGATATTGCCTTAAAACAGGCCTCAACTGTGTTTTTCCATTTTCTTTCCTACTCATCATTTAGTCACGCATTGCACTGATTTGTTTCTTTTATGAGGCCATATCAACTGCAGGGGTTATTACTATCTGCACTGTACCATTATGTTTCGCATTTTCTTTTCACCTGTTCCTTGATATTTCAGTCTTGCTTTTTCACACAACAATTACATGAATAAACTTGCAATTTTCCAGACCGTGATAAGTCTCCCAGTAAAATAATTGTCTCCTGTCTGAGATTCCATTGTTCAAATCTATCTTTGGATATTTCTGTTTGCTACACCCAACATGGTATCCAATGAGTACCAAAGTTGTTTCTTCTGTGTAAAGTGGCCAGGGCATCAGGTCATCTGCTCACCTCCTAATGCCAAGATTAAGAATATGTAGAGCTGTACCTCCACTCTCCAATACTTGTTTGGTGGTGTTTAGTTAAGCACTAGGGAAACCTATCCTTTTATATGAAATTTTAAGCTAACTGGTCTTCATCTAAGGGCAAAGGTCTAGAATGTGTAGAGTTTTACCTCCACTCCCGCTATACACAATCATGGAATGGTGCTTGGGTACAGAGGCAACTTTGTCTTATCTTTTACCATGTTCGCAGGTTGTTGGTAGCAACTCCTTCCAACAGTTCAGCAGACTTGATTGCTGAACGTTTATTAGACTCTGGACATCTAATACCGGGGGATTTGGTGCGTCTTGTGGGCTATCATTGTATAGAAGAAGGGAAATTGCCAGAGAAATTGGTACCATATTGTACCACTGGAGATATCAGATCGATGGGTGATGATGCCAACAAACCAGTTATATTGGGTGAGCCCCTGAAGACTTCATCCAATGCCCAGACACTGGGAAGACACAGGATCACTGTCGGTACTTGCATTGCTCTTGGACAGCTGTACAAAATGGGGTTTACACGAGGACATTTCACACATGTCTTTGTTGATGAAGCAGGACAAGCAACTGAACCTGAGATATTAGTGCCTTTGGGTTGGTATTATTGTGTTTATTTGCTGTTTAATTTCTTCGTGAATATGTTCTGTCCTTGGAAATGATTCATGTCCATGTATGTTAATATCTGTTCTGTTTCTTAGCTTTGGTCACAATAGAATTTGTGACTAAGGAATGTGATGAGATTTCATGTTTTCACAGTGGTAAAAATGTGGATTTTGGTCATCTGGGTTGAACATGCTATTTGTGTTATTGAATAGGTTAGCAACAATAGATTTAGATCTACAGTGAATGTCCCCAAAACCAGCAAAGTATGACAGGCCGCAAAGAACTCATCCGGGAAACATGCGGACTTCCACCTTTCCATTCTTCTTTTTTCTGATTGGCAGATTTCATCCACACCAGCTCTGGACAAGTGGTACTTGCTGGAGACCCACTTCAGCTTGGACCTGTTATCTTGTCTCCTCTTGCTTCCAGCATGGGTCTGGCTGAATCATTTCTGTCTCGTCTGCTTCAGCACTTTCCATATCAGCGAGATGCACAAGGATTTCCACATAATGGAGGCTATAATCCTCGTCTTATAACGAGATTATCCTTAAATTATCGCTCAGTGCCAGAGATCCTCCATCTGCCAAATTCATTGTTCTATGATTCATACCTCCAGCCTCAGGTACATGAAGCAAAAGTGTTTTATTTAAAGTTGGAAATGCTATCTTTTTGACAACAGACTAATGTTAGCATAATAAGTACTACTCTTATACAGCTTAACTGCTATAATGTTACACAGTTCAGTAAGCCATTGTATACCACCTGAAGATGGTCTGCGACAACCAAACATAGTGGAAATATGGAAAAAAAGACACTGAATTTAATAAACTATTTAGACAGACGATATTCATTATTAATATTATTATATAGCAGGATGTCTTTGATAAAGATATGTGCAAAATACTCTAAAGTAGTACTTACAAGTGTAAGAATGAAATGTTTTATGCAGTAACATGTAACGTACATTTCTCACTTGTGATTTGGGTCAAAAATGTATATAGTATGTACTATGCAGTATTTTAATTTAGGAGTAGGTATGGTTGTAATACATCAATGGAAGGAAGTCCTTGGGAGAGTAAACTTAAAATGAACCATGATGAGAGGTTCGTAAGGACAATAACTGGATTCAGCTGGCTCAGGATGGGGTCTCGGTGTTGAGATTTCATGAACATGGTGAAGAACCTTTGGGTGTCATAAGAAAAGGAATCTTTTAGATCAGATGAGTAACTGCTGAAATCCTGTATAATGGAGTGGTTAAAATTTGTCTTATAAAAGGAAAGTGAATTGCAAGTTTGAACAATTTACAGTGTGCGATGATACTAGTCTTGTGCTGAATGTCCCAGGTTTCACAAACCACTGGTCCAGAGGCTGATCTACTGGCATCTTTGGCATCCAAGCTGCCTGAGCAGAGCAAAGAAGATGGTGGTCCACCAGCCCTAGTTTTTCATGGAATTAGAGGAGAAAATTATCAGGAAAAGGAGAGTCCCTCATGGTACAACCCACAGGAGGTAGTGCAAGCCGTGTCTTACCTCAACATGCTGTATGGTGCGGGGCTGACCCCAGATGATGTGGGCATCATTACACCTTACAAAAAACAGGTCAGTTTGCAGTTGAGAGACCATCATAATCAGGAAGTACTGAAAACAGGACCATGATAAGCCTTCATAAGAAGTGGGATGATTCCAGTGGCAGACAGAAGTATTTCAAATAATGTATGTGTTTTTCACACTGTAGAATGAGCAAAGAACACCTTATGGCCTGTGTGTGTGTCACATTCTTATGAGGTAGGTAACCTGCATGGCAAGGATCATTACTATACAAGTGTGTGAACCAAGGTCAATTTAAAACATACTCTTGCATATATTTACATTATACAATAATTGTATGAAGTGCAATAAATTGGTTCTGTATAAAATACAAGTACATTATTAATGGATATTGCCATTTAAAAGTTTATGGATAATTGAGCACGTGCTGTTATAACTGATTTTTGAAGTTGAATGTAAATGTTCAGTGGTATCTCTAGATGGGCTTGTGTGATGCTACTAGGGAGAATGTTTGGGATGATTCCAATGGAAAATACAAGTATTGGAAATAATGTAATTTGATTATGATGCTACATTTTCCTCCTTTTCTATATAATTATTATTGGGGTAGCTCAGCTAATATAGTGACTGACTATGGACTGGATGACCAGGGTTCGATCCCCGACAGTGGCAGAGGATTTTTCCTCTAGCCTCCGCATCCAGACTGGTTCTGGGGCCCACCCAGCCTTCGGTCCAGTGGGTACCAGGGCGTGATGCTGACCTCTCCCCCAAGCACCTATATGGTGTATAGTGGGACAGCTTTACTTTACTTTCTTAACATTTTAGGTATCATCATGCAGAACCCTAAGGTGTGACTGCCAGTGGTGAGTACTTCTAATGTTTATGTTTATAGGTTCATTATAAATTGAAACATTATGAGGCCAAACTAATTTAGTATGATTGTTTACTGCAGGTACAGAAAATTTGTGCCCTCCTCAAAGAGCTTCAAGTGCCCATTCCTAAGATTGGATCTGTGGAGGAGTTTCAAGGACAAGAAAGGAAAGTGATCATCATGTCTGCTGTTCGCAGCAATCCCACATTGCTAACAACTGATATTCATCATTCACTAGGATTTGTTTCCTCCCCAAAACGACTGAACGTTGCCTTAACCCGTGCACGTGCTTTGCTCATCATTCTGGGCAACCCACACCTTCTGTCTCAGGACCCTTACTGGAGAAGTGTGCTCAGCTACTGCATCGAGCGAGGTGGCTACACAGGTTGTGACCTGCCCATTGACTGCAGTTCCATTACTCTGGATGACAGTATATGAGGCATTGGGCAACATCTTTTGATGGTATTATATTAGTTCCTATTTAGAGTATTGGTGCCTTGTTATTTTGTCAGGTTGGCATATTTCATCATCAAACTTAGGCAGGCAAGTAATCTTTGGTGTAATATAACAGTATAGGTTGTTGGGAATGTACATACACAGCTGATTCAAGTGGAAAGGTAATGAATGAATTTACGACTCCTACTAAATAGAACAGAAACCCTGAACTGAAATTGAAAAAGCTCTTTCTGGCTCATGAGACATAGCAAAAGTGCATCCTGCAGTTAAATGGTTTATACTTCAGAATCATGTACCATATTTTCACAAATTTCATGTTTTCACCTTATAATAACATAGAGATGTGCAAAGGTTCTCATTTGGAACCAAACATAAGGAGTTCCATGAGAAAAGTTCAATAGTGACCATTTCTAGTGAATGTTCCTCTAAAATATTCAAATAATATTTTGTAACAAAAACTCTAGTTGGACTGTAACTCGGGTTGTATAGGTACAATACAATGTATTTTGAGCAAAGTCAAGTGCAGTTTAAACTTCTAAATCATGCATTTTCAGTGTTTGACATCTTTTCTCTTTACCAACTGATCAGTAGTGTTCAGTTTGTCTGCATTTCATTTTAGCTTTAGTATAACAGTATAAGCGGCCCCGGCCAAGTGGAACAAATGCTAAGAATAAAAAGAAGATAATGGTATAATATAATGTATCAGTACTATAAGAATATTTTTAACCCTTTCTAGTCAATTTTTGTAAGTGGTTCTTATGGCTGGTATCCCAGCAGGTGGAGCAGAGGACAAGGAAGGATTAAAATTTAATAGCCCGGTGGTAACTATATGTACCATCTGCTTCAACATTTAGCAACTCTGTTTTGCCCACAGAGTGTATTTATTGGTTCTGTGTGGTTCTCAGAATGAATTGCATTCATTTCCCAAAATAGCATTAACCATTTGATCTTTGTCATTGAGACATGTTGTGCTTTCTCTGGGGTAATTGAATTTTAAATATTTATATGTGATTCTGGATTCAAGGGGTTAAAGGTTTCATTTGTAGCAGTTATGTTTGCCTGGCAACCAGACCAGGGACAGAGAAACTGGGAACGATGGGAGAACGAATTTCATACCAATATGTAACACACAGCATATATGGGAGAAACAAAAAAAATCTGATTGGAAAACCTCAAGAGAATAGGCCAGTTCAGTGACATAGGAGTAGATGGGAAGGTATGCTAAAATGCATCTTTAAAGGACTAGCTTCTCAAAATGTGAAATGGACTGAAATGTTTATACTATATAGTCATAAGCAGACTCATCAGAAACCAACAGCAGCATTTGGCAGTGACCACAAGAAATAAAAAATCTGAGTCTGTTTTGCCAACAGCAGGGATGAACAAACTTGCCAGACTGGGTCAATAAAGTAATTTATGTAGGACTTGAGATATTCATCGCCCTGATGACGGAGGCAGTATGACCTCTGAAACGTTGGTTAACATCGACCAGACTACACAGCGCAACAACCCAGAAGACGGAAATCTTCAAAGTAATTTATGTCAAGAATTACTGCAAGAATAAACTTAAGTCATATACCAATCAAACACTATAAATGCTCACATTGTGACATTAATAATAAAAATTAATTCACTGCTGCTAACTTTATTGTAGATTTCATTAACAACCAGCAATTCTGATACTGGTATAAGATTTGTCAGTGAAGTTCTCATTTAAGGCTTCCTTCAGGAGTAATGAATTTGATCACTAAACAAAGGAAAGTCTTACATGGAAGAAATTATAAATTTGTGATCACTGAAATTGAATGTTAAACAGAAATAAACTTAAATCAAGCAACATTAAATGGGGGTTCCACCATATCTTCAACTACCATGTTACATATGTTTTGAAAAGTAGATATATAAAAAAACACATTAAAAATAATTAAGCCAAGTATGTGCATGGTATTCATTATCCATGTTTGCCTTCCTAAAAGTCTTGGGCTCCCCATCGTATCTGAAACACAAGACAATAGCAACATATCAACATGTTTCGCTTCTCAAAATTCTAAAATGTGTGGTATAACTGTAAAGAATGGAGAGGGGGAAAATAAAAGAATCAGTTACTGAACACCAACTGAAGATATGGAAGGAGGAAGCCAAAAGTATAGTGATTACATGGAATTCATAAAGTGATGGAATGCAGGGGACTGAAATGATCTATAGATACTGAATACAGGAACATATGGGAAGGGGAAGATTCTAAGGATGAAAAATATCCTTAAACATCTTGAAATCTATGCAGAACTACAAGTTCAACACATCTATTTTCAAGTTTATGTTTCTGTAAGGCACAATTAATTACAGAGCATTAAATGAGTGTGAAATGGTGAAAGAAAGATTGAGAAGAAAAGAATAAAGAAGACTATGTGTCAGTTGTGTACATGATCTCTGGTCCTTTAAATGGCATCTGAAAATGTTATATATACAGTTAAAGTGCTGTGAGTGAACACGAAGCCTTGTTCCATGCAATGGTTCTCTTGCCACTGTATGCACAAGGTATGGTGGTGCCTGGACATTTCTGATGTTTCTATCAATTGTTCAAGGAAGATGTAGCACTGTAGAAGTCATGAAAGTAACCTTACATCTTGTGTACGAGCTTTCAGTTTCCTTTCAATGAGGTTCTGGAGTGCCTCGGAGCGAACAGACAGGGAATCGATCTTCTCTATGAGCTGCTGATACGGAGATAAAGGCTGTGTTCCCATGACGACATGTCCGAGTTTGGAATCGATCTTGGCATCAAGACGTGCATTCCGAATCAAATTCACAATCCAGCATTCAGCTTCTTCTGGCTTCATGTTCAGTTTCTCTGCTAACATTCTGCAATTAATTCATTATTCTACTTTCAGTGCTTTTCACTAAACTAAAGAATTGGTTTATAGAATTGGTCTGTAGTACATTAAGATTATATTACACAAAAGGGAGACATGATAGTAATCATATATTTTTATCACAGTATAGTTAATATAGATACAAAATATGAAGTGTAGGAATGAACATGGATTTTTAAATAAACAGGGTTAAAGTATCCCATTTAATAATGGATTTATTTCTCAGAGCATGACACTAGCATGGTAATATGTAGATGACATCTTGAATTTCAACAGTAGATATAGCATCATACAAACAGGAATTAATAGTAGTATTAAAAACAACTTATTAAAGGGCAATAAATGGAACTTACTCCCTGACCATGTCCATTCTTCATTACCTTATGAAAAGTACAGGGTACAAAGTAATTAAATACAGATGCATCTATCTGACCTTCCTGACAAGTTAATTTTGCAACACATGATTAAAAACATTCTTCATTTGTTCACATGAACATTAGTTTAGTTTGGGTATTGTTTCCCCAGTACATAATGGAATTTGATGTTATTGAGGGGTTTTCTTTGTGTAATCCTTAAAGCATTACAGGTTTCAAATACTTGAAAACTGCAATTCAACTATATTTCCTCCCCCATATATGTTCTTGGTATTTCAAAGCACTTTTACTTTTATTTATTTCTCTTCATAAATGTCAGTTAAAACTACCTGGAATAGTAGGCTCTGTAAGAATGGACATTTGAACATTTTTCATCTACCAAAACTTTAATTCAGTGATCTTATTTTCCTGCAAGCATGATTCAAAAGTTTGGTCCTGTCATAGCTACTCACCCAATGCTGATGCACTGATGTATACGGCAAAAAGTCTCAAAAATCATAAGCCTGGCATTCTCAACAAACTCATCCAAAACAGCAATAAGGAAAAAGTCATTGTACAGAACCATGTGGCATTCATGAAGTTTCTGGCGAGCGCCATCAAAGTCAAAATTGACATACAGATGCTCAACAAATTCGGTAATGGGATCCCTGTAAGTGTAGGACTCCTGCAAACATGAATAGCATTGAAAATCCTTTATTTACATTAAAGTTCTGTATTCCTTGAAACATGTCTCTTAAAGTCCAAGCCTTCTAGGGCAATTCTAAACCTATCAAATTGTTGAACCCTGGGCATATGAATAGATGATTATATGAAGCATAGTACTGTATGTTAAAAGGCTGAACTGTTTGCTAACATTCTTTCCAATTTATCATTTAATTACAATCCTTTCAGACCTAACATTTTTATCCCCCCCCAAATGGTGTTAACTATTGTTAAATATTCAGGATAGAAAATATGAATTTATAAAACAATTACAGTGAAACCTCTATCCATCGTTCCCGGAACTATCGTTTTCCCGGATGCATCGTCCGTTTTGTTCGGTCCCGAATACATCCCATATAAAATAATGTTACATTTTCCCGCTTCTATCGTTCCTCGAACTATCGTTTTATCGCATCGATCGTTCAAAAATCGTAGTCCCGGCCCACAATTTTCCCGCAATGATCGTTCCTGAGAATTTAAAATGCTGGGTTTAGAGATAAATTAATACCGAAAGACGCACAATGTTTTTGGAATAAACAGTAGCGGTAACCTGTTATGTCGCCCAACCAGCACATTCTTTTGGAATGAGGGTCAGCGGTGCAGGGGTGATAGTTGGAGTGAATGGCGGTGCCCATTGTCAGAAATTTTACGATTTTAATTAGGGTGCACTCATATTTCGTTCCAGCGATGCCAGATGGCATGTGCAGTGTGAATTTCTTCACAAATGCTTTTATTACAAGGACAAAGGAAAGGC